GGTGTGATGACGGGGAGCAGCAGTGAAGGGTCCTCTTCCAGAGGTCTAGCTAGAGGCCCTGCTAGAAGTCATGAGGAGTGTTCCCTGGAGACTTAGCCCCACCACCATTTGTAAATGCTTGATGGATTCTAAGCGAGAAGAGCAGTCATTGTAATAATGATGTACTAGACCAAAAAATGTACCTGTTTCTAGATTGCATCCAGAATCGGGGCTGACAGCGTCACATCAGCTTAGTCAGCTTTAGAACATTTATTGACAACCTGACTTTCCTCCACTTTTGTAACTCTTAGACTTTCCAGCCTTCCAACAACGTGCTTTAGACCTGTAGTTTTTGTCCCTTCTTTTCCTTTCCCTTAGCCATTTTCCTAAAGATAGAAACTTTACCACATAAAATTCTACTTTAATACCTTTCCTTTTTACCAAAAAAAATCCACTTCACAGCTGTAACCTTATGTCACCTTTTCCTGTTCACTGTCACATTCTCTTGTTTTTTTCTTCTTGTGAGTTTACTTTTAGAAACAACCTTTACCTTTGATTTAACCTTAATTTTTACTTGACACTTTAAGGGTCACCTGAGGCTTGTCCAATGTGAGTTCCAGGTGTCTACAGGGAGCAGTTAGGGTCTTGGGCCCCATCGTTCCTCAGTTTCAGAGGCTGCCATGGAGCCAGAAGTCTCAGCTCCCTTCAGAGCTCAGGGCATTCCCATTTCCAGCAACCAGCTCCTTCACGTTGCAGACAAGGCCCAGTGGGGGAACACGAGGATGCCTGTCATGGATACTGTCCAGTGCCCAGGCATCCCCTTTCTGAGGAGGTTCCCAGCCTTCAGGATTGTTACCAGTGACTCTTGGGTACTCTTTAAGTTAAAGTGAAATCAAAGGTTAAGGTGAATTGTCAATTTGTTTTAACACTTTTCTGAATTATCTGAGAATTTTTCTAGATCTGCTCTGGTCTGTGAGAGACCCTGCACTGAGAAGAGAACCTAAGCTCCAGTAGATCCTGAGTACCACCAGGAGGGCGGAGCCCAGTTCGCAGGTTTTACAGAGCATCTGCCTTAGCAGCTATAGAAAAGCTCTCGCTGGACAATGCAATCATAATTTAAGCTTTCATTTTTATGGCTAAATCTCCTTAGCATCTAATTTGTATTGGGATCTGGCCATAGACTGGTCCCAGTTTCCAAGAATGTCACCAAGAGGAGAGTCCAAAGGGGAGAAGTTCTAACTGAAGAGAATACAGAGGGAATACTGGAAGGCAGGAAGGGAGAAGACAGCCAGGAGCTCCGGCCTTACCCCGTCTCGGCCTCGTGCCTGAGACTCGCGCCCCACTAGCTTTCTGGACGGGAGTTCCCTAACCTTCGCCCTCCATACAGAGGCCTAACCAAAGCCAGTTCTGGGATCCTCAGAGGACTGCCTGAATGTCCTATGTGGAGATGTCTGGCTAGTCTGAATTAATCTTTTGCTGCTTGATAAGTAAGCTTGCTGTGCCAAGGGGAAACTTCTGCCTGGAGAAATTGGGTTGTAAGGGAATTTTTCCAAAGAGAATTTCCAATGCAAGTACCTTTGAAGAGGTTTTTACCACGTACCCACGTTTATCTCTTCTCTTCCACCCTGGGCAATCCAATATCTCCTGTAGGAGCCATCAAGTTTGTAAACTTGTATGTAGAATTGCATATATACGTATTGATCAGAATTTAAAATTTTTAAAACCTTGACTTTTATCATATATGAATAGCTTATGAACCTGTACAAACAAGCAACAATAATAAAAACCAGCAGTTTTCCCAGTGCAGAACAGAGCAATCTTACTAATAAACTGACTCAGTATCATTTATTCTTATAAAAGCTGAAAGACCAACAATAGGAATAACCAAAGCATGTTAACTCAACGTGAGCTGTAAGAGGATTCAGGAAGAACTCGGTGGGCCGTCCATGCGCTCCGTGCGTCCATGCTTGACTCTGGATGCACAGCCTTTTATACCATTTTTACCTCTCTAGTCCAGGCATGGCATCGTTTATTAACTAGATTGTCACAGATAATTTGACTTAGATCAGTTTCATGGAATTCATTCAAATGATAGATCTTAACAGTTGACACTTGATCTTAGCTAGTGGGCCAGGAAGTACCGCATGGCTTACCACTCTTGGTATTGGCTGACTTAGCATGCAGTTTTGTCAAACCGTTCCTGGGCTTCGGGTTAATTCTAGTTCTGCTTGATGGTTGGCTTAGCAGTTCAGAAATTCAGTCACTTTTATAGAAACTGGAAATTCTTAACCAGTTGAATGATTAGAGTATCAGAAACCTGTACTTATAAGAGTACATCCTCTTTCCATCCTCTTCACAGTATCCTTAAAGACATAACACTCTAGATTATAGTCATTTGCAAAAATCTAGAAAGGTATCCAACAAAGCCATTAACCTTGGACAAAAGACTTGAACAAACCATCTTTAAAGATCTGACAAGAATTTGCAACTAACAAATTTGGCCGTATCTGTAGCACACAGTATAACGTAGCGACCTACAGCATGACTGACAGATACCACACTGTAGGTTCCTGGGGATCTCAAGTCGTTTTGGAACACACTACGGACACACACACAGAAACACACACACAGCATCCTGGGATGCGGGGGCCTGGTCCTGCTACGAAGGTCAGTCCCCGAGCCACTGCTGCAAGCTGCCATTCCCGAGCAAGCGGCCGAGCTGCTTTGTCTCTTAAAACTAGTCATTTTGTGACTCCCTTTTAGGACAATACCCAAACTACCAATATAGTTTTTCTTTTTTTTAATTTTAACTTTATTTTTAATTTGATCAAAGAGCGACATAGCAAGAGCGGGAGCGAGACAGAGAGGAAAGTGAGAAAGCAAGGTGCCAGGTCCAGGACATGAACCTCGGTCGGCCATGTGGGAGTCCAGCATCCTTAACTGCCACGCCACCTGCCGATCCCCCAAACTTATCAATAGATTTTAAGGGTCCCTGTCTCCTACCTCAGTTTCATTTTAGGTATGATGAAACTGACACCTGACAACAAATGTCGTCAAATAGACCTTAAATTCTGTGCCATGTTTTTTTCTCTTGAAGGCTGACCTTAATTCCTTTGTCCTTAGTTACTACGCCTTCACTGCTTTCTCTCTCACTAAGGAATTGTCAGATCACCGAAGACCGAAGAGATGAATGAGGGAGGGGTGGGCTGTTGAAGGAGCCCTCACTCTTTCTTGGCGGAGAGCTTTGTTTGAGATGGCTCAGATGGAGCCCAGTGACATGCCCAGTCACGGAAGGAAGATTTACCTACTTAGTAATAGCACAATGAAAGTGGCATTCTTTTTCTGCCCACTTCTTAAGATAATTAAAGTTAACTTGGACCCTACTTGGTATTGGTTGAGCTCCAGAGCAGGGACTCTCAAGTGCTGTTCTACAGACTGTTAGGGTGATCTGTGCTGCAGGCTATGAAGGAATTCAAGTGGATACAGAAGAGTGCATTACCTTTCCAGAAAGTCTTTGGAAAGGAACCAGATGTTGAGAATTGCCTTGGCCTTAAAAGTGGGAACTTGGGCCTTTTAAAGGAAAAGGATTTAAGGTGGATTAATTAAAGTGGTCATTTAGACAGGCTGTCAGGTGGTCTTTTACAACATATCTCTGGGCGAGTCAGCCATCTTTGAAGAGATCAAGTACCCTGCCTGTCTTCCCTGTTTCACATGGAAATCTTCCGCTGATCCCAAGGACTTCCCCACCTAGGGCATGTAGCATGTCTCCTTTCACCGGCCTGGCCTGACTGGGTTTGACCCTTTAGACCTTTCCTGCCTGCCAAGAACACTCAGAGTTACCCAGAGACCTTGCCTTCTCTTCAGCAGAGCCCAAGATAAGAGGTAAATAGCCAAGGGTTTGAGCCCTAAAATAAAAGAAAATGCCCATGGCTCTGGGGAGCTTTGGATGTGCCCCTCCCATTAAAATACTAAAGAGACCTGGGAGGTACTGCTATGCCCTTCCAGAGCCCATGGCTAGTCTGGGGCAGTCACCATCTCTAATCAATTCAAGACTCACTGGTGCACTTCGTATATATTCTAAGTAACTCCCCTTTTGTCTCTCGTGCAGCTCTTGGCAGTTTTCCGATTTAAAGTCTTAATACTCGCCTACGCTGTATGCAGGCTGCGCCACTGGTGGGCAATAGCGGTGAGTCCGTTGGACAGGTGGGTTGTCTCCCCCCGTGCGGTGGCCAGGGCTCGTCCACAGCAAGCCTGTGCTGGAGGAGACAAGGTGTTACAGTTCCCCCACTCGAGTGCTCTGAGCACCCTGGAGCTTTTTCCCAGAGCACGAGTCACCACCCTGTCTCTGGGGATGAGGGGCCAGTGGGAATCCAGGGGCCCAGCCATGGAGATCGGCCAAGCACCCACACACCCTCTGCCTTGTACGCAGTGAAGCACCTCTGCCCCGAGATGCTTGGAACTGCCGAGCGGTTTGCCACGTCGTGGTCTCCCTGTTTGATGATTGCCTCCCTCCGCTCTCCTCTGGTGTGGGAGGGGAAGCGCCTGTGGTCTGTTCTGTTGCCATCATGCTCCTGGAGGGCAGTGACCTCATACTCCTCTGCGTCTCTGCGTCCAGCAGCGCCGTGGCTTGTGCTTCCTACCTCAGTAAATACATACACATCAAAGAAGAACTACAAGCTATTCCTCCTGACTTGTTTTCACCTCAACCATTGTCTGAACACTCACTTTTTAGAAGCTCTGATAAGGCAGGAATGTAGGTGGGGCCGGGTGAGGCACACGGAGCTTTACAGACCACACGGGACTGCCCAGGCAAAACCCGAGTGCCTGCAGCTGGCGGGTGCTGGCCTGCCCGCTGGAAAGGGAGCTCTCCTTGCTGAGGCCAGGGGCCTGGCTGCCTGCACCATGTCTTGGGGACATTCAGTTACAGGACTGCCGTCAGGCCAGCTTTAGTGCAGATGCTCTCGTGACACCGACGTGGGCCGACGCCTTGGCCATACCCGACTTCCTTTCCCGAATGCTCTTGGCGGGTATGAGCATAGCTGGGAGCATGGACTGTCGCGTGTTCCTACACCAGTCTCCGTTCGAGACCTTCTTTTCTAGTCTCCGTAACGCATACTCCTGTTGGCCAGGACATCCCTCTCAGTGTTTGTTTAGACAGTGATTGACATCAACATATGGGCACTCAATGAGAGTTATAAGAAAATCTCTTCAATATCTGCTTCTAATTGTCTGAAGGATAGATCCGATTTTGAAAATCCATTTTATTTCTGATTCTTGTTTTTAAAAACATTTACAGAGAGGGTTCAGGCAGCCGGACAGAGGTACAGTCATCTGGCACCTAAAGAGCGTTTAGCGTCAGCCCGCGAACTTAGTTGGTGTCAGAATGTAAAACATCTCCTCTCCCAGGCAACCACCCCTGGCTGGAGTACCCACATACATGTGTGTGCATGCATGTGCGTGCATGTGTGTACGTGTATCTATAACTTTGATAATACTCACTGAGCAAGACGCTTAATGTTTCCGGGCTGTATTTTTTAAAGTTTCTTTATTCATTCACTTCACGAGAGAGAGACACAGGTGGAGAGCCAGCATCCGATGGCCTCGGCGCTGAGATCTGTCAGTGCCCGGCCCCAGCTCCGCCAGCCTGGAGTTGGACACATGTGTGCCCTGTGCACTCGGGGAGGTCTCGAGGCTCTGAGCAACAGCCTTCCCGTGCGGTCATTTTCCCTCTGTGCTTCTGTCTGGTCCCTTTGTCGCCTCCGTCCTATCAGTCGAAACTCTCCTGCCTGCATTCACTGTGACCAGTCCTGACCGGACTGAAGATAGCATTCGGGAAACCAGCAGTTAGCGTAATGGCTATGTCGCTGGATTCCCACGTAGTCGACCGCAGTTCGTGTCCCGGACCTGGTGGCTTAAAACTCACGCTGGGCACGTGTGCGTGCGTGCCCAAGATCCCGAGAGGAGAATGGAGGAGAAGGGATTGCGGCGTGACCATCCCCCCTGGGGGGTGATTTCTCGCTTTCTGTCTCTATGTCTCTCTCTGTCTGTCTGGCGAGCGCACGCGCCCTACAATGAAAATCTCTCAAAAAAAAAAAAAAAAGATAGCATTCGGAGGCGGGAGTGGCAGGGGAGTACCGTGAG